TTTTTTTTTTTTTTTTTGAATCATTATTGATTATCTTCTTCCTCTTGTTATTGAAGATTGCACATTTAAATACCTCGCGTGTACGTAATAGAGAACAGAAGAGTGTGGACGGTTAGGGTGAAATAAATTGGTACGACGAATTCTACAGATCTAGTGAGCGAGACAAAGTCGCCGAAAGATTCGAAGCCGCCACTGCCAAAGGTCCATAGCACTCCAAAGAAAACGTCTACACCGAAATCGGCGGAGATGAAGAAGCCGACCGAGAAGCTGGTGAAAAACGCGAAGGCTTCGCCCCGGATAACCCCGAAAGTGACACCGTTGCAGAGTCCTGGCGCCGAGAACGCTCCATTGATCCGCGGTAGTACCGGCGAGATAATAAAAAGCGAAGGGAAGGAGGATAAATTGGAGGATAAGCACGAGGAGAAGAAAGATCAAGGCAGCGAAAAAACACAAGTAATTAATTTTCTCGTTCGTTAACGAGATGAAATACGTGGTGTACGACGCGTTCCCCGACCAATGATCGATCGCCGTTTATATTCTCGTTTCGTTTAATTAATTGCAGCAGGAGATAAGCGCCGCGGAGCAGGGTAACGACGAGGTGAAGAAGCCGACCGTTATAGAACAGTCCAATATCGTGTCCAAGCAGGCGAAGGACGAGACTAATTTGAATCAGGAGAATCAATCGGCTGTGCGATCTCAAGAAACGCCTAAAGCTGCCAAGAAGGAAGCCGAGGCCAAGTCTGAGAGCAATGTCGAGGAGCAGGTCGATATGTCTGGTAAGCTAAGTTGTGAACCCTTTGAAAATTGGAATATGAGAGGATTGAGGAATAAATTTTTTCTTTCTTTTTTTTCTTTTTTTTTTCCTTTTTTTCTTTTTTCTTGAAATTTCTTTTTTCCAGCATCGATGATAGCAAAGATCCGGATCACTACGGAAGAGGAAGCTAAGGCAGCTATAGCTGAACGTAGAAGATTAGCCAGAGAGCAGGCTGAACGGGAAGCCGAACTTGAACGCCAACGACAGGTGAGGTTTTAAATAGATCCTCCGTATGAAAGATCGCATTGTTCGTGGACGGCGAAGGAAGGAAATTTCATAAAGAGATTTCTGTATCCTTTTACAGGAGGAAGAAGCCCGTTTAGAGGCCGAGAGATTGCGCGCCGAAGAAGAGGAACAGCGACGTTTGGAGGAGGAAACGCTTCGTTTGGCTAACGAAGCTCGAGAAGCTGAAGAACAGAGACTGAGACTGGCGATAGAGGAAGCGAAACGTCGCGAGGAAGAGGACAGGAGAAGAAGGGAAGAGGAGGCTCGTCAGAAACAGGAGAAAGAAGAGGCTGAGCGGAAAGCGAGGGAAGAAGCGGAAAGGTCGGATGATTTCTTTGAAGTGACACTGTTTTGTATTATCCACAAAGTGTTTATCGATTAAATGACGATCCGATGTTACAGACAACGGATCGAAATGGCAGAACGTGTTAAGAGAGAAGAGGAAGAGAGACTTGCTAGACGTAAACGCGTCGAAGCAATTATGCTTAGAACTCGTGGCAAAAATCAGAGTAACACACCTACGAAGGTGAGATTGTAAATTTATTTGTAAAATTCTTGTTGATTAATTTTTTTATCGATGAGTAAGGGATGTTTATGTAAGTGTAATTCGTAGGGTGAAGGTGGTGATGGCGATAAGTTGAAAGAAGACAGTCCTAACGATGAAAATAAAACAGCACCAGTTAATAAAAGCGAGGATGTTATGACAGCCAGTCTGATATCCGAGGCGACTCAACAATTCATTAGCGGAGAGCAGCGTGCTCATCATACGGAAAACAATACTACTACGGACATTGTGCATAACGGCACGCATAGTAATGGCATTAATGAAAATAAAATTGTATTGGATAATAATCAGGGTAATGTGGAAGGAGAACTGAATGGTCATCATACAAATCATGGAAACGGTATCAACAGTCAATCAATTACACTGGATAATGCCACTGTGTAAGTATAACAACTTCAAAGTTACAGATTCGTAACGAGCATTTATATTAGCGTAAGAGTTATATACTGACATTTACCAACCACCATTAAAAAAAAAGAAAAAGTCCAAGATATAACTGGATTTCTCATCGATAATAAAAACTGAAAAATAACATCGAAGAGCATCTCAAAGAATTGTAAGTTCATTTGGTTTTTAGATCATTCGACAATAATATAAATATTATGAATGCCCGTACAAGGCTTATATCAGTTTAGCGAACGTTGCTAAAAACTCCTTACACAGTGTACACCCACGCATTAGAAATTTTCATAACATTTTATGAGAATATATTTATTTCATTTTTTAGTTTTTTTTTGTCGCATAGAATAAGAATATTTTTTCAAAAAAAAAAAAAAAACAATCTTTTTAATCCGAAAAATAAATAGCGAATATTTTAGAATATCATTTCTACGAAATGCATATTTTATCTAGAATTTTGTGCGAATATGATATACAAATATATATATATATATTTACTAAACTTAATTGTAGTTTCGTTTAGAAAGCAAAATTATGGCTAATATAATTAATATAATATAAATAATTGCACAATACTAGCCATTATAAAAATAAAAATATTGACTGATTTTTAGTGCCGTTCATAAATATGTATGAACGTATTCGTCGTATAAAATATAATTGAAAAAAGAAAAAAAAAAGGTTAAAATGTGTTGAAATCATTAAAAAGGAAAGAAAAAAATCAAAATATAATAAATCTGAATCGGAATACGAATCATATGTAACACTACAAGTATCATGAACGTACATGCTAACATAGAATAATATGTGAAAAGTGCATTCGTAATCATTAATACTAAATGTATTCTTAAATCTTGATTTAACACGAATATAGGACAGTTCACATAATGAATGATTCAGGGTACCGCTCTAGTCATTTATAAAAAAATAATAAAGTTGTTTATAGACTCACAAGGAATTAATAGACACGCACATGCATACAATGTGAACTATAAATAACAACAATTTTTAAAATTTATTTAATCAGTTATTCTATATTCAAATTACTGCGTAATAATAATATTGCTTTTATCTATGTAACTCTATCATTGTTGTTGCAGATTTAATATTATTATTTTTTATCATAACCTTCCCTTTTTTCAACTAGAATGTTAAACACTGAAAAAAAAATGGCTAGAGTGTGAACATTGTTTTCTAAACGAATATATATATATATACATATACATAATAATAAAAGTAAAAAATGTGCCACATTAAATACACACATAATAAGCATAACGTATGATTTTTTGACCATAAAACAAAAAAAAAAAAAAATTAATAAATGCATTGTTTGATTGTTCTAGAAAAGAACAATTAAGAAATATATGTTGAAAAATCATAATCCTGCAATATGATTATTCTGAATTATAAAGGCACATGGTATGTTGAGAATTAATATGAGAATCGTTAATATGTATATAATGAATTTTGTTGTTTGAGATGTTTTTTGTGATACCCGTATGATAACGGAAAAATTAAGTTTGAGAATATATCTACGCTATATGTACACTATACATAGTTATTTAAATAACAAAAATTTATTGCGCTTTATCCATGAATCACATCGGAAGGAACTGCTTATAAAATTCCATTTAGCTCGGTAAAAATTGCTTTATAATAAACTATCATTATAATGCAAACGACTTTACATACTATATTGTACATTGCAAAAGTAGTCAGAGCAATGGTTGACAAATATAAAAAAAATATTTATAGCAATTATATATTGCTAATGAAAATTCACCTAATCGCACGACTATATTAATATAACTAACAAATTATATATAATATTATAATCATCGGTAACTCGAGAGGTATGAGGAATGTATATTGTGTATTATCTATTATACTTATATATATTTTATAATTTATATTTAATCGTGTGCTAGTTTAAAAATATACTATTTTTAGGTAGACATCTAAAGGAATAATGAAAAATTTAACTTATATTGTACGCCGATTCTTTTTAGTAATATGTTAATGGCATAAAAAAAAATGTAATGTTATACAAAGCATGGAAATGTTAAGAAACTAACAGAGCTATAGCGTTAAATATCAATTAATCAATAATAAATTCAGTGTACATAATGTAAAGAAGGATAAATAGTATAAATTTGACTCATCTAAAAAATTTTGTCTATAATTTTATCACAAAAGTTCATCAAAGATACACTGTTTCTATATATTATTATGTTTTCATATATTTTTATATTTACAGTGTGTAATCTTTGGTGAGCTATTACTTTATCTTTCCTCCACTACTAGTTACCACTCAAGCTCAACGTGTATGCCTTAATTAATGTTCGTATTAACATTTCTTCTTATCGACTTTATTACCACCATTGCATGTTGTGAATTAATTGTATCAATATGGTGTGGCTTCTACTTTTCTTTGCTCTACTTTGTACTTGTTCTTTATGTTTGCGTTGTATATCATCCAGCAGTACGTGTCAACTTACTGTCTACTTTTGCTATGTACTATCAACCTCCACACATTTTAAAGTTATTTTTTTGTTGTAAAAAAAAAAAAAAAAAAAAAAAAAAAATACATATATATACATATATATATTTCACACAATCCATTCCACAATCCCTATAGGAAGTTAACTATGCTGGGCATGAATGTTTTTCATCTTATTCTATCTATGAATAAGAGAAAATAGGAACTACATGATTCAAAAATCATTATCGATAAAACCTGCTGTATGGTAATCATCTATTTATATTACTTACTGTATAATTTTATCGAAAAGAGAAATTCTTTTCTATGTTAATTGTGTTTCTTATACAATTTACGTTATGCCATAAAATTTTTTTGTAAATTCTCAAATACATAGAAATGCTTTTTTTTATAGCTGCTTTACAGTATCAAAGTAGCTGCCTTTCAAAATATTAGTAAGATATAATAGTGCTGATGCAAGATTAAATATTATCGCAAATTAAATCGATTGTAAGATAAGTTTTCAGGATTAATGTTTGCTTTCAAATTTTTTTTATAATTATAATTTGATACGAGACGAATAATTTGAAAAGATTCAGTACATAGTCTGTTAATTCTTTATTTCTCCTTCATTCGTTCGCTAAAATCTTTTAGACGTATTAGACATTTAAAAAATATATATATATATAAAACTTTTAAATTAAGATATAAAAAAATAGTTATTAACAAATAATTGTACGAGTTATTGCACATATTAATATTAGCAAAATAGTTTCTCGAACTACGAATCGCCTATGATTGGCTTGATCAATTATTAGTGATTATAATTTTTATCTTAGAAATTACGATAACGCTGATGCGGTAGTATCTAGTATTAATCGCCTATTATTTAGTATTTGTATGTTTCCTTTCGCTGATTTTATAGCAAACAAAACAACGTGACCAACAACCTGTTAGACCTAACGGAATTCGACTCTCTCAGTAATAGCAGTAGTGGTCCAATACTCCAACTGACATCCAATTTGGCCAATGAAGACACCCTCAACTCGAACCTAAATCCAGCAGCTATACCTTTCACTCCAATGGCAAACACGTATATGCCTACCGCTGCTAATGCCAATGTAAATCCGTTCCAGGATTCTTTTATGAACAACAAACCACAAGATAATAGTCAAGTACCAGGTACGTTTGCGTATTATTATCGCGATACTGACCTCTGATGTATACGATGTGAATGTAACACACTGTTCTTGATCTACAGATCTTTTATCATAATGCGCGTATTAATCATTCTGGTGAAAGGAAGAAGAGAGCGATTGGATTGAAAAAAAGAATTGAAAAAAAAAAAAAGAATTAAAGAAATAAAATACCTGTGCTTTGCAGCGAGCAACGGGTATATAATATTCGAAACGATGTCATTTATGAAATAATGTAAATAAGCGCTATCGATGTGTAGAAATGGAGACCTAAGTAGAGAAAAACGGGGGGGCACTACGTCAAAAAGAAAAAGAAAAAGAAAAAGAAAAAAAAAAAAAGACTACTTTGTCCTTAAACGTCACGAGAAATGTAAAATAATATATAATGTTAATTATTAATATTATGTAACAGCAAATAGGCAACTCAGTCCGTTATCGTATGCTATTAGGTATAAATCTTTTTAGAAGAACCTTTAAAGGGAATAAGGCCTGTTTATAAAATTATTGATTTGAAATACGCGTATATATTTTATTGTATTAAAAAATTTCATTAAATTAATTTCACGCGTAATTACAATTCGCCCATAACGTGTCGCGTTTAGAAAAGTTTTTATCGAGAATTGTAATGGAACGAGATTTTATCGAATTTTGACGACGCGAACAATCGGTACAATGAAATCTTTATACGTAAACGAACGTGTAAAACGGCTTGACAAACAAGATAGCACAAGATATGATGAATTGGTTGAAATATTTTACTGAAACTTATATCTGCCAAAATGACGTAGGAGGTAAGCTCCAATGATTGTCCTTATATAAGAGATAGTATAATATTACCTATAGAATTTGAGTATAGAAAACGAATATATATTATATACATATAGTCATATCTAGTAAGATCTTCTGCAGATATGATGTAAAGAAAAAAAAAAAAAAAAAAAGAACACATTTCTTCCATATTACATTTTGGGGCGTGCGCTCACTAGTCAAGCAATTTTACTGTTTTTATCATATTTTCCTTTTTTTTTCTTTATTATTATTATTTTATTATTATTTTTTTTGTTTTTTTTTTTTTTATATATATTAGAAAACTCACCTAATATTGGTACTTTAGGTATCCACTAGATTTCATTACTGTTACGTTTTCGCGAATCTAACATAAATTTTCTAGCTGTGATGATGACGACGATGACGAAGACGACGATTGCATTGTGAAATAGCCACTGCATACGTTTATAAAATAAGGAATCGATAGTATCGTTACTTTGTTTGTAAATGATGTTTTTGCTAGTTACGATAGAAAATGAAACACAAATCTACGGTAAAATGTTTCAATAAAAGATGATACATTAGCATAATCATGATAGAAATTTTTTAGCAAGGAGCTCGAACATTCGTCGAATATTTCGTGAAAATTGTGTGAACAAAATTCCAAGCTCATATTGCGTTATTCCATATATATCCATTATCGTAGTGGCTATTCATTCTAGTGGTATCATACTCTAGTATACAGATAGAAGATGATAATTTTAAAGCCTGATGTTATTGAGCAAACATTGTAATTGGTGTCTATGACATGAGTTTATTTGTTACTATTGTGGCATATTATTATGAAATCAATTAGCATGCTTTGTGTTTAACACTTTGCAAAAATTGCAAGTGCGTAATATTGTCCCATATACAAGGTGGTTTATACGAAGGATAATAATGAAGTATAAATTTGAGTAACTTGGTTTTCAAGTAGCAGAGATGAAAGAAAAAAAAAAAGTCATCGACATGAAAGGATATCACGATATATCACGATCTATATCCATGCAAATATCCATGTACCGTTTGTTTTCTCTTTCTTTTCTTCTTTTTTTTTTTTTTTTTTTTAACCTTTTCATGTTTGTGCTACGTACAATATTAAGAGTTCTCTTATGAATTCTTTCCGCATACGTTCTATTGCGATCGATTTAAAAGAAATTTCACGCTGCATGCTTGTTACCGATTTTTTTTTCTCCCTCCCCCCTCAAAATTGTTTAATTTAAGAACGTCGAGCACATACATATATATATATATATATATATATATATATACATATATATATGTATGTATGTAATGCCGCAGTGTTTTGTATCCCAAAATGATTTCTCTTACGCAAAACCTAAGAATTAATATTTTAACGATAATGAAAAAAAAAAAAATATATATGTATTTTTATCGAGAAATTTTAGCACATTGCTGTACAGAAGCATTACAATCCTAAGACACTTTAATCGCCTAAGCTTCTTAAGCGCGTAGTTAACGACATCGATACGAGGATTCAAATCAGTTTTACGTATCATAACTCGATAATCCACGCGGATTATTTTTAATCATAAAACTATGTCGTTGCTTTCCGAGAAAGAATTTACGCAATGACTTTATATTATCGAGTTTATTTATTCAAACTATTCTATTCGGTCTAACTAAAACTATTCTATAAGGACACGTAATAATAATAACTATAATAATAATAACAATAATAATAATCCCAATACATACGAACAAATGTTTCTAAACATACAAATACTGAGAATGCTAAATATCATCAGTCATGTCTAAAAATACTTCGTATTGTATAAATGCTTGTATGTAATAAATACTTAATATTGAAAATAAAGGAAATATTATTTAATAAACCTCCTTTGAACATGTTCCATTGTTTCGTAGCTTTTATATTCGTGTCAATGTTGTTCTCGCATTGTAAAAACTGTAAAATGTGATTGTTCTATCGTACATTCGCACGTTTCATCCCTTTAAAAATCGTTATTCAAATTCAAATCGGCGTAGAATATGTTAAAAGTCGCACAAGTGTCTCGTATATATTTTTCTGTTCATTGTTGCCGTAAAAACACGTGCGACATATATTTTAATTTTAAAGCGTAAGAACTAACATAACCCTCAACGTAACGTATCCGCGTGTTGAAAGCAACAGGGTATGAAATATGGAGCATACCTGCGAGCATACCTGGTGGATGAGATTCGTCTCTGGGGTGTCACAATCGTAAAAAATAATACCCCCTGTCTGTGAACATTTTCTTCGTAGTTATCTGACTGACTGGCTACTATATTTGACTCGTTTTCGCGTCAACGAATCGAATCCATAGAAACGTTTTTCATCGAAAACTTTCCAACCCTAATCCCACGTTATTTTCTTTCTTTCTTCACGTCTATCTCGACCTTATTTTTGCCCCTCGGTCTCCTTTATTTTTTTCGAAATACGAAAAATATTTCCACGGCGAAGCGCGATCTACCGTTTCTATCTCAATTTTAATAAAACCTTTCGTAATTTTTATTTTTCCACGCGAACGAGCAACAATTTAGATATCAAATTAGAGAAAAATTTACGTTCCAATTAAAATTATGACTCACCTCCGCGTATGGTCCTACTTAAGAGTTCCCATCAAGTTCGTACGTAATTTTATACCGCTCCCCAGTAAGGGGGCAAGTAAGGGTCGGAACACACACATACACACACACACACACACACACACACACACATTTTTTTCCTTCCCTCCAGGCCCGTTACGATACCTTTTAAGACGAGGTCTACTCGAGAAGAACGAAATCGTTCGTGAGCCCGGTAATCCAGTGTTGCGCCTGGTGTAAATTAATTAATGAAACAAGGTAATACCGCGAGTGCTCTCCGTGCCGCGTTATTACGACCGAAAAGGCGAAAAGGATCGCCGGTGGAAAATGAGGATTTCAGATACGCGCGCATTTCCAGCGGGTGCATAATTCCGGAAAATTAAACCGCAGCGCGAGATTACACGGCAAACTTTCCGCCTTTTCCTTCCCCGCGCTAATTTTTGGCCAACAACTTGACTCCCTCCTTGCCCCCTTCGCCTTAACGCAACTAGCCTGGCAAACGTTTAACGAAACTCGATTCTTTACGATGCTTTTTTCACCGTGGTGGAAACGCACCACTTCCTCTCTCTCTCTCTCTCTCTCTCTCTCTCGTGCGAAACGCGAAATTTAATCGCCGGCCGGTGAACTCTAAATTCAACCGGTCCCCGATCTATCCTCATTAACCGGGGAAACTTGGAAATATTATTCGCGTCGCGATGTTATCCGGCCGATTAAAGGAGAGCCGCGGAGCGTAGTAAATCATCGTTTGGGAAATCCGCGGGTGTAATTCCGTAATGAATTTCCGCCAACTTTCCGCCGACGTGAACACGGATCGGCCAAACGGGAAAGGACGACCAGTCGGACGAATAAGGCGTAATTTATGAACGGAACGGGCACACACGCGAGTCAACGTTTCACGTCTTGTTTAAAGCAAGTACGTTAAAAAAGTATTTCCTGTCCAGGTTATACGATCACACGATCGTGGAATCGTCCCTCGTACATATATTCGCTACGAAAGAAGATTTTCGCGCTTTAAGAGCTGTCGATGATCGTCTAACGCCAAACGGCAGTTAATATCCTTCTCCCTAATTCATCCGTGGAAACCCGGATCGTTTCGTTTTCGAGAAGGGGAGAGCGGTATTTTCTGGCGGAAGGTTTCGAACTGTTGGTGTAATCCAACGGTCTTGGGCTCGCACATTCACGTGGCAGGAAAGGGTGGTGGTGTAATTTGCGGCTTGTAATACCGTGGCCGTCGTTTGTAACCTGTTCGGGATACGCAAGTACGGTTGCGGGGGAGAGAAGGAGGGAGAGCGAAAAGAGAGATGGGCACAAGGAGGAAACCGACGTAACCGCATCGAGGGGGATGGTTTTCCACGACTGAACGTGGGCAAAACTACCCCACGTTCATTTTCTTCCCGTCTTCCCGGAAGATACACTCGTCCATCCCTTCGTTTCACAGGTTTCCTACAGGTTTCCGCGTCCCCCGCATCACCTGACACGCGCGTTTTAATCGCTCTGTACTCGTTCTCCCGGTAAATTTCCATTTGCCTCCTCCGAAAGAGGAGGAAGAAGGGAGAGGAGGAATTCTCTTGACTTCGGTGCAATCTCTATGTAAATAAATTTATCAAGCCCCGTTGCTCCCTATTTCGGTAAAGATAAAGAATAAATAACGGGAATGGGAAAAGGTTGAAAGAGGTGGAGAGGAGAAGGAAGAGAAAGGCGAAAGATTCAAATGAAATTTCGTATTTCGTTTTTACGGATACGCTCGATTTAGCGGATGGTTCAATAGA